TCCCACCTCTTTTGCATGCTTCCAGTGTCTATCCATTGCATCCTAAGAAATTGAAAGCAGATAGCCTTAAATTAGTCACTTAGTGCATCCCAAACTGAAAGATTAATGTCAGAATGCAGTGTATTTTCCCTAAGTATTTCCTACCAGAAAATACAATATTTCAGCAGTATGACTGAGGAACATGAGACACAGTCTAGAAATTATGATGTATGAGGAATGTAAGTGGTACAGGGCATTTTTCATCTTTGAAGTCCTGAGTTATTTCAAAACTGTTTATTTTGATTGAACTTGACTGTTGACTGTGAATGAGCAAGACAGTTTTGAGCACAGAACTTACTAGCTGTTGCCCTGCATCATCTCGCAGAGCACAGCTTCTGCAAGTCAGGCACACAGGCAGGTGGAAGCTTTCTGATGAATAAAGTCAGGTGTACCCTTACAGATTCCCCTTGCTTCTGCATCAGCAGTACCTTCTCTGACATAAGAATCGCTTTCAGAGGCGCAAATGCAACAAAAATGCCTGTATCGGACTATTCTTTAACTGTCCAATATAGCTCAATAATACTGAAATATCTTTAAAATAATATCTTTCACTTACATGTAGGCTGGGACAAAACAAAGAAGGTCACATCTTTGAATTTCGAGGGCTATTTCCTTACATCAGCTCTTATCCTGAAAGTAAAAATGTAAGGAGGGACTTGAGACTCTTTAACAGCTACGATTTTAAGACGATCTCTCACTAACCCTCTCTTCCAAGTCTCAGTGAAGTGCTTTTCATTATTCTCAGAGTTATATATATTCATTCCATTATAACTCAGAGCAGATGTTGAATATAGTTAGCAGACTAGTTGTGAAACATTGCTCTTCCAGTGTAAAACATTGCTCTTCTAAATAGCTGTTTCATTGTCACATTATAAGGTGTTATGCAAAGAGGAAATGGGTTTTATGATCCAGTTGTCCCCAAAAAGCCTTCCACAGCTGGAGGGTGAGCTAACTTGCTACCATAGTGAGTGGAAGGTTAGCGCTTAAACGTTTGCACAAAGGGACTGACTGGAAGACAGATCTTCTGTTTTGTTCCTTACATTAAAAATATACAAGTTCCTAAAGACTTCGTAGAATCACAGAATAGTTTGGGTTGGAAGGGACCTTTAAAGGTCATCTAGTCCAAGGCCCCTGCTGTGGGCAGGGACATCTTCAACATACATTAAAAATATACAAGTTCCTAAAGACTTCGTAGAATCACAGAATAGTTTGGGTTGGAAGGGACCTTTAAAGGTCATCTAGTCCAAGGCCCCTGCTGTGGGCAGGGACATCTTCAACATACATTAAAAATATACAAGTTCCTAAAGACTTCGTAGAATCACAGAATAGTTTGGGTTGGAAGGGACCTTTAAAGGTCATCTAGTCCAAGGCCCCTGCTGTGGGCAGGGACATCTTCAACATACATTAAAAATATACAAGTTCCTAAAGACTTCAGCGTTGGGAATCTGTCTAGACGCTGTGCATTAATTTCAGAGAATCTGCAACTATCAACAAGTGAGTGTCAGGTAAGGGATGTCTGTTTGTACATTCAGAAACCTGATGTAAGGGGTATGTGGAATACAATGTCCATTTGACAAGCGTTACCCTTCTTCAAACTGTTGGTGTTTCAACTTTCAGACCTGGGTCTTGTAACCTGCATATAGGTCCTGACTTGAATTATAAAGAAACCAACCTTAATTAAAACCAAAAATTCTTAAGCAACCTTACTCATTGGAAATATATAAAAGGGCCGCACAGTACTTGTATTACACATAATTGGTAAGGAAAATTTCTCATCAGTACTTATTTTTCTGTATTCTCCTGAACTGTGATGATTTCTTTTCAGCAGGATTTGAATTGAATTCCACTTCCAAGTCAGACTGTTTTTTCTGTGATAAAAAATGGTGTCCTAGAAAGGGTTGCTGTTTTCCGGTAAGTTTGGGAAATTGCTATTTCAATCCATCATCCTGTTTGGAAGATATGCATTGATTTCCCAAGAAATGTACAGCACAAAGATTCATGCTATCCTTTGACAGTACTCCTTCATGCTTCTACATTGTAAGGGAATCTTTAGCATTCAGCAACTGTTAACCTAACACAAAGAGCAGATGCTTTTGGGATTCCCTCTCTGAATTAATATCTAGTCCAAGCACCAAAAAACCATATTTTTTTCATGTATATAAAAAGCCTTATTGACCTATGGGAACTGAATGTACAGCTTAGAGATTAAAGCACTGGGTAAATATGAAAATGATATATCCACTGGTAATTGAGAAGACAATAGACAAAATAGCAGCAATTACAAAGACCTATTCACAAAGTTTTAGAACTTGTGATTCTTGTTTAGAATAAGTCGACTTTCATTCAGTCTTATTCACTGTTGTCAAAAAAGCAGGGACAAATACAGACAAATTAGAAATTAGTATGATTTAGTTTCCTTTCTAGTTTATATTATTTTCATTAGCAGTGTATCAGCGAGTCAAGCAAAGCCAAACTAATTTTCAGAAATTTCAGATTCTTTCTCTCCCCTCAGGGTTTTTTGATTGAGAGCTCTTGATCTTACTGGTACATCAGGTTAACAGTGATGCTGTGTTCCCTACCTCTCAGTAGCAAACCTAACTACTATGCTTTGGTGATAGGAGAATGCCTTTCTCACCTGATTGTTACAGTATGGTTTTTAGCTCTTGCCATGCAATATGTAAAGCAAGATACACTGCATGCTACCACTTCTTTTCCTCCTAACACTGTCAAAAAAGAAACTGTCCCTTCCACTGTCTTTTCCAATTCACTGTTCTCCAAGAAAAATACTGTTTTTCATTCTGTTCCGAGGAAAAGAGGAAAAAAGTCTTCAGTATACATACTGTGCAGAAAATGACGCTCCCAAACTGTTGAATAAATTGTGAGTTTCTCTTCCTGCAACTTTCAGTGTGATCACGGATGGGGTATGTTTTTGATATGATATCAATATGATCATTTTGATCATGTTTTTGATATTGTTTCACCACTGTAATTGTAGCTTGGGTCTTCTGATTGTTGGAAGAAAAGATCAAGATCCGTGATTGTGTGAGGAATGTGCGTTATGTAGAAGAAGGAATAGGGAAAGATAGGGAAACAAATAAGCAAACTTTTTAGCCTGTCTTTATTAACATTGAGGGTTGATAATTCTCATTTTCTGTCCCACAGCTGGAGTTAGGCCCTAGCTTAACTATGCTATGTTAATGCTAATTTTCAGCTACTTACTAACACCTAATGTAAAACCACCACAAGTTTCTGTAATTTTGTTCTTGTTCTTGCTTCTTTCAGCACTTGAATAGTCATTTAACAACTTCTGAAGTGGCAGATGAATGCTATAGAAGCTGAAAAAAACAACTGTAATTTCCTAATGCAAGAGAACTGAAAATAGTTTTGACCATACTGATCAGATATAAATATAGAGCTGAAGACAAACCTGCTTTGTTGTGCTGACACTTGAGGGTGGCGTGGACTATGAATTCCAGGCCAAGTGGCCTGAGACTTGGGACATCTCCAGAATGATAAAGCCACGTTTTAAATTAATAGTCTCATACTCTGTTCCTGCTAATATTTTCAACCATCTACACTTTGTTTTCTGTGGCTCAGAGTTACAGCAGCATTTAAAAGTAATTTCTATAGATTTTTTCTTAGAGAGAAAGAGAGAAGAGCAACTGGGTTTTTTTCAAACTTAGACTGTTATATGCCTTGATAGTTTTTATTCCTCTTCGGTAATAACAACTCTTGTAGTATAAAAACATTATGTGAAATTGAGCTTTCTTAAGAAAAAGAAGGTGAGGAGGGAGGAATTTCTAGCTGCCTAGTAGCTGCCTAACTGTAGGGATAATTAGGAAGGCATAGGCATTACAGGGGATATTCGTGCTGTCTCATTTGGAAGCTCTGAACAAGGTATTTTACATTGGTGCTTCAGGGGGGATTCCAGACCTGCCTTCCATGGGCTTTGTGCAGGGAGCAAAGGCATGCAGTACCAGTGTTCAATTTATCCATCGGCAGTTAGATGAATGAGTATCTTCCTAAGATTCAAAAACCAAGTGTCATTTGTCTTCTCACATCTCCCCTGTGCCGCCCGCACCCCCAAAAGAAACCGACTCCAAAACGGTGTGGTTAGTAAAACTTTAATGTTTGTAGGTGGAGGAGGAGAAAACATCTGGATTATGATCACAAAAGCTTGCAGCAGTTTGATTCCCATTGCTTAGATTGTTTCTTTTGAGTTTATTTTGGCAACACTGAACATTTAGGTCTGACTTTTCTACACTGTTTCTTTTTGAGCCTTTTCATTATCTGAAATAGTTCTCACGAAGAAATACTAGTGACATCTCCAGGATTATAAAGAGGTATTCCCGACTTCATTATTTACAATAAATTTTGTTAGGCACTACCTCTTCTCTGATCTTCCTGGCCAATATTGTCATGGAGAAGATTTGGCATTTATTCACCTTCCAAACCTCTGAATGTGCAAGTCCAAAATAGAACAACAGACACTTTGATACTGCTTTACAGGGATAAGATAATCAACCACGAATGGATTGATGTTTTTTTCTGGAATTCATTCTTCCCAAGGATATTGACTCGTGAAATAACCCTTGAAGTACATCTACCCTACACAGTATTTCTATCATGGCTTTGCTGTAGGCAGTTTCTCACTGGTGTGGTATAACCTTATACCCATAGCAGAATAAACTACAGGTGTAATGCAGAAAGTGTTTATTTCTGACTGTCTTCTGTGGAATAGAAAAAGTTCCCTTTTGAAGAATGCAAACTTCTGTAATGAACTTACATTCATTAAATAATGCATAAAAGCTCCTGAATTTGAAATCTTCCATTGCTTGTGTGGGATTTTTATTTTATTTTATTATTTTGATGTGCTGAACTAGAAGCAAAACTTAGAACCAATAAATACTTAATGACACTAAGGCCAATCTTAACTGACAATATTTGTGTTCTCTTAACAGAATCTGGTTCTGCAATTACTGCTTCCTGTATTGGTTTGGGGAACTCTACAACACCTCCACCCGGACAGGCAGGAAAACCAGTGCCAGGATACAATGGTAAGACTGTGCTGCTAGAAAAGGGTATTGCTTATATTCCTGAGTAAGTGCTCTTTAATTTTCATACTTTGTAGGGAAAGCAAATTACAGTTTTATTAACACATTTTCCTCCTTCCTGTAACAGGAAGATCTGCTTTTTTGTGTGTTATGGAATGTGATTGTGAATAAGAAATTCAGAGTTATGTTGAAGAAAATTGATCAACTACTCCTGTCTCTATTATATGAAAGGGCTAGCACATACTTCTACCCTGGATATAACAAAGATATGAAAAAAATACTGTGCTTTAAGGCTTTATCTACAGTTGCACTGTTTTAAATGAGAGCAGCAGTAAAATTTGTATTGGCAAATCAGGAAGAAAAATCTTAGTAATAACCATGAGCAAAAGAGGAAATGATAACTAGACAAATAATTGCTGTAACTTGCACTTTGACTGTTCTGTTATACCTGTGTTTTCAATTTTCAGAGCCTAAATAGTTTTGGTTTGGGAGATGTACATCGAACAATTACGTCTCAGAGACTGATTAGATTGATTAGATTTTCTTTTGGCCCTACAATTTTATATAAGATGTATCCTGAAATGCATAAAGAAAATTGTTACTGAGGTCTGTGTCTTCCACAAGTACATCGTAATGAGCTAACAAGCAGCCTGGCAAGGATATAAATCTTCTATTTGAACTCATCTCATACTTTTTAAAAAAAAAAATCAAAGTCAGTTTTCTGCCTTTTTGTACAGGTATGTGGGCTCATATTTGAGAGTTGTTAAGCACATTATCTTTTAGTACTTGTGGAGCATTTTTATTTCCAGCTGGGAGAAATGGTAGGCTATGCACCCACGTTAAAAGGATGAGCACTCATTGTCTGGAAGGTATTTGCATGCAGAGGGTGCAGCCACAGGATTAAGAATGCTAAAATATTTTCATACCTGAGAACCCTGATTTTAACACAGTTTTCAAGAATTACTTGAAGTCCAAAAAATAATTACATTAGAGATCAAACCATCTTCAGGAAAAGTTCTCACATCATTGGGCAGAAAGAGCTAAGCTGTTTTTGCTTCTAATACATACAAGCGGAAGTGAACGTTAAAGAAAATAAACGTTTTCAGCAGCTCTGGGTTTTGGCATTTACAGTTATGGCATGAAGACAAGTGATAGCTTAAAAACAACATTAAAACAAAGCCGTGAAGTTTGTCCGGAGTTGTAATAAATAGGGAAGAGTGGAAGAATGTAATTGCATCACACATCCTATCAGATGATAGTCAGGCCTAGAAAAAAGTATGAGTAGCAAGAATATAAAAATTTCTTATGAATTTTTTGGAACATTGGGCCTAGTGTACGTAAAGAATTTCTTCAAATAGAGTGAAGGAAATGTCTTTAGCGTGCCTTAAAAGGGAAACATAAAACGAGCACTAAAATTCACTAAAGATTTGTGAAAGAACTTTACCTCTTTCAGTCTTTGGTTTGAGTCCAATTATGTCCTGTAATGCAGCCATTCACAAAATAGCGGATCTTGAAATTACTCTATGCTGGCAGCTGTCTTGCTGTCACCCACTGCTGTTTTGATGTTGTTTTGCTGCTGTTACTATATTAATTAGAAGAGATCCTTATGCCATTTAGAAGCTAGATTCTGTATTTTTAGATTCTACATGCAACTGTTAATGGTTTTGGACATTGCTAAAGTTATGTTGTATTTATGCTGCGATATAAATAGAAAGTTACAAAATCTACTTTTTTTTTTGAAACACAGCCAAATTCTTTCCTGTCACAGTATTGCTAAAATAAACTGATTTCTTTGCTGATTTTTTTAGCATATAAAGAATAAAAGCAGTATTTAGCTATATCAAAGTGCAGTGGCAAAAATTGCATTTAAAAGTGACTCAAGGTACCATATTAATTTCTAGCTCTGTTGCCTTAAATCAGACATTATATTGTGCTTTCCCTTTGATCTACTTGAACCCTTTCCAGATAATTTCATTGCACTGTTTTCAAACTGAAGCAAGTCCCACATTTTGAAGAATTAAGTCAGTTCTTCAGTAATTCAGGAGTGAGCAGTATAATATCTTCCTTCCCCAAATTTTTATACATTGAAATACACTGCTTGCAAGGAGGAGAATAAATGCTGGAATTGCTACCTTGATAAAATAGTTACAATAAACTGATTAGATTTTACTTTAGTATAATAAAAATAGGAAAAAATAGGAGAGAAAGCTTTGAAAGCTACATGTGAATGGGTCTTTTTCATTGTGTGTTCTGAGCCTAAATTCTCCAAATCTGACGATGCTATGTTTTTACACCATCTAAACATAAGTTGATATCCATGAAGAAAGACACTGTCCTCCACCTAAAAATACACTACTTGACAGGAGTTCTCTTCCTATATTATTTTTTGCAGTGATGATTCTGGATGAAAATAAGGAACTAGTGAAGGCGAAGACTTTAGGAAATATTGTGGTAAAGTAAGCAAACTAAGTATCTTACAGTTAAGAGAAGCTTCCTACATGGGTTGATTGTCTTTTGACTGAAGTTTATATATATGTATAACAATAATTGAAATAATGAGGGTTGAAAAGCATGGCTGTCTCTGGTATTGATACCAAACTGCCAGAACTGCCAAACTTGTCCATTAATGTTGAAAAATTGCAGATGAAATTGTGTGAGTGAATGAGTGTGGATTGCTGGTTTTTTTCTTCGACTACAGCAAAGTTTACCATTTTCTTAATTACCAGCCTGTTGGCACAGGATTAAGCTTTCCTGTTGGGATGTATGAGCAAGATACTGAATTGTTCTCTTCACTGTTTTATCTTTCAGTTTAGTGAAATAGTACAGCAGTGCAGATTGACATGCTTTGGTTTACTGGTGTGATGCTGCCTCCTCTTTCGCTATCTCCTAATCCCAACTGATGCACATTCCTAGAGGGACAATATGTGTTTTCTGATCTCTGTAAAAACAGCAAGATGTCTTTGAGTGTGCTTTGCATGAAATGCTGTTCAATTATGGTGGTACTTTGACAAAATACATACAGGAAAAGACTCCAGAAAAAAAAAAAAAGGAAAGAAAAAAACCCTGCTCTGCATCATGTAGGTGATTTTAGTACCATTTACCAGACTCCTGTCAGGTGAGTTCCATAAGCTCTAATATTCTTTTTGAAAGTACACCTTTCTTAGCGCCTTTTCGTAGATAAAGGAGCCTCTGTTTAGATAACACTGTGAACATCAGTTATGTTTCTTTTGTCTTACCTTCTGCCATCTCACTGTTGCCAGAACCTTTCCTTACTTCTGTAAAGCTCAATAGGCTACTGTTCCCCACAGCCCATGCCAGCTCTGTCAGGCTTTAAGGCAAATGGCGTTTTCCTCAGACAGATACCTACTTTGTGATTAACATGTTATCTGTAGCCGCCTCTTGTTTTCAGTCGTAGAAAATACCTCAGTTCTGAACACTTCCTGACTGCCAGCAAATACAAGTCCCAAAAGAAAGGCATTCATCCACTTCTGCAGTGGTAAAATTTAGAAGAACTGTGGTAACTCAGATTCTTCATTGCTTGCTTAGATCAATGGAAGGAAATACAAAGATCAGCATTAACCTTCAGTGAATTGAAATTTTTTCAAAAGCCAAAACATTGGGACAGATGTACTGATTCTGATGAGTTGTTAAAGAGAGAAGTTAGCCGAGGATTGAGGCAGTGGCCACGTGAGCTGGAGATGAGACACGTAAGAGCTACAGGCCCTGGAGCGTGCTGCAGAAAGGCAGCGCTAAAAATGCGGGCGGGCTGGCTGGCTGCATAGTGCTTGTTTGGGAGTCGGAGTTGCCGAGGTGTGGAGGTTTTTTGCTCAGCTGTACTACTGATCTAATGTAACTAGACCGCTGTGGAGATTAAGGTAGTATCACATGAAGTTACTGTACTGTGTGACACAGATGTGTGTTTTCAGGATGAAGTCTATACCCTGCCTAATTTTCAGCATCTTAGGCTAAGCCACCAGGACACACAGGCATGTGTTTAAGTGCACACACGATCTCCCCTGAATCAGCAGACTCATATTTAGACATAGTTTTCCTGTGACACATGTAAGATTGTGCATTCATTCCATTGCCGAGTATGAATAATTAAAATTGCTCCAGCCTTTAATAGACTGTGGTTTGCAGTATCGGTAACCCAGGTCAGAGTGGAGGGCTATCTTTCAAAGCTCTCATTTCTGTAGTGCCTGATGCCATAATGAAACGTAGGCATGCAATCAGTGGAGAGAGAGAAAGGTATTTTGTAAGAAAATTGATCCTAGCTGTTTTAGGCATTCAGCTAGGATGGAATAAATCGCCTTCTAGATGTGCTCATGTCTCTCCACTGACTGCAGGGGTGACACAACTAGCTTAGGGTAGGTGCTTAGCATTATCTACCAAAAGCGAAGTGAAATGAACTCCATCCTTAGCAACTCTGCCAAACAAGCTGAATTATATTTACTAACAGGTAATGTTGGTAGTCGTGTGCATACATTTCTGAGTCATTACTATCGTTATCTTTAAGTGCCTGTCAGGAGTGGATATTGCCATAGTAGAAGATCCTGTTTGGGGTTATTGTCAAACTCTTAAAGCCAGAATTTGTCTTCCCTAATGTGGCCCCACGTTTAGGCATTTATCTTAAGGGATTACAAATGTGTTTATATATTGATTTTTGTTGTTGTTTGTTTTATTTTGTTTTATCTTGCCCAGCATGACTTCTGCTGCAGTCAAATAAATTGATAGGGAAGAAGGGATTTCTGTTTCGGTTTGGGTTTTTTTGCATTGGATCACTCAAGAAAGAGTAATGGCATAGGGACACTATTATTTTATCATGTCCATATTTATTGTAATAGCCATTCTGAAATGGGGAGAGTAGAGGGCAAAGAAATTACATTGTATCATTAACATAGTTGATGTGAAACCAATTCTGAGGTAGGTTAGCTATCACCCCTCTTTCTCTTCCAGCCTTTTTCTGACTTAATCTTTTGAGGCAATAGGATCTCTTAAAATTCATTGTGCGGCTTAACCAAAAAAAACCCCAAGAAAACAAGGCAAAGGTATTGATAGGCTTTAGGAGGCCAATTGTTGATTTTTTAACACTTCCAACATTTGAATCTTTGGACTGTCAACAGAAGTTGGCTTTAGGATATTATGGTTCGCAGCGTCTTAACACTTTGTTCCAGGTTTCATTCTGGTAAGTGACAATTTGCTGCAGTGTTTAGTTGTTTTTTTGGTCATAAAAATCTGTAGCCGTTAGGTTAAGGCATCACATTTTCTATCTTCTGCTTCATTCAGCTAAGCAGTTCTTAAGGTGCAAAATTGTCATTTTTTGATTATGGCTAGTTTTCATAAAGCCCACCTGCAAAGAAGCCTTTCATCTCTTCAGCAGGCTTCTACACGTACAGACCCCTTAAAAACAGGGGGGATGATCCTTGTTACTAGCAGTGTTTGTTTGTCACCCCAGGGGCTTGTCCGCATGCAGCTAGAAGAAAACGGGGGAGTCAGGATAGTTTTGACTATTACTCTGTCATACCCTCAGCAGCAAAATATGGTGTACCGTTTTAGAAAAAAACACAGGTGTTTGCTTTATCTGCAGCAAACGTGAGTTGAGAAATATTCTTCACTATTTCTCAGAGAGGAGAATGGCCACACACTGCTTACAATACCAGCTGTGCAAAAGTGGTATGCTGCTGCTCTTGGTTATTTTTATCCCAGTCTAAGTCCCAGTAAACACTGTTGGGGGCTGCTTGAAGCCTTCAGTGCTCATAAGCATAGTATTTAAAATATCTATTCTTACAACAGAGTTTTAAACTTTAATTGTATCCCGCAGGAGTCAAATACTTTAGAAAGGTAATTCTTACACCTAATTACTCCAACTTTCTGCCCCAAGCTGCTCTTGGTTATTTTTATCCCAGTCTAAGTCCCAGTAAACACTGTTGGGGGCTGCTTGAAGCCTTCAGTGCTCATAAGCATAGTATTTAAAATATCTATTCTTACAACAGAGTTTTAAACTTTAATTGTATCCCGCAGGAGTCAAATACTTTAGAAAGGTAATTCTTACACCTAATTACTCCAACTTTCTGCCCCAAGTACCTTCTTTTCTTTATTCATCCGCCAACTGATACCTGTTTTCTTTTCAAATAACCGTCATCTATGCCCTTTGCATAGATTTTTGCTGACAAGTACTCTGATACAGGCTAGTTTACCTGGACAATGCAATAATCTTTTTGACTTCCCAAGTCTTTCAGGATAAAGTAATCAAATGCAGTGTCACAACGTTTATGATGAAAGGGCAAGGGAAAATGAAGACAACTGCAGCTCTGAGGGTGGGCTTGTATGAATTGTTTCTACATTTACATTTTTTTGAGCTAGAATCTTTGGACATGGAAGATAATTAACTGAGGATTTATTCTGAAGTAAAAATGGTAGCAGCAATGACCTCCACTTCCATTAGCAAGACCAGTCTGATTTAGTGACGCACTTCTGCTTGCATTGTTCTGACTTGCCTGGAATTAATACACACTTGAAAATGTGTGTGTGTGTGTATGTAATCATTATTAGCCATGAAAATTTTCAAAGGTGTCTGTTACCATAAGGAACATTAGGAAGGAGAAATCCCACTTAAATTCCAGTGCAGTGGGAAACTAAGTTTTGCTCTTGTACATTATAAAGATCACAAACCCATTATGTTTATTTTATGAAGCAGTTGTCAGCAATGTCTCATTAACTAGTGTTATTCTTTATGTTCATCCCCAACAGCAAGAGGGCTACATTTGCCTTATACTCATTCTATCCAGAGAGTGATGCCTGCCAGTAAATTTCCCACTAGATCCTAGTAACACTTCCTCTAGTGTTTGTATAGTTAATTTTGTGCCATAATAATGGAGGTTTACAGGATAAGTATTTACAAATTCATTTTACCAATCTCTACTGCACAGAATCACATAAATATTTCTGTTCCATATTCAGAAAGAAGTGAGACAATGTAGTTATATGATACAGTGATTCTGAAATTCTTTGGTTGCGTTGGTTAAATTGCATTTAAGAATAGTGACTGTGTGAGAGGCTTTGGAGACCATTAATGTTGTGGGTTGTTTTTTTTTTTCTCATGAGTTTGGGATTAGTGGAGGAAGAGGAAGGAAAATTATAATGTTCTGTCAATAGTTAAAATGATTCAAATGATGACCCATCCCATTACATAGAGTAAAATCATGAAAAACTTTATGTACAGTGCTGTAAGAGTGTAAAGTATTGAAAAATAATATTTATTCACAAAGTTTTATAAAGAAAGAGTCATGATAAATTTACAGCTTTTTATAATTTTAGATTTTAGGTTCGTGGAATAGAAATGTGACAGGACTTTTGAAGCAAATACCATAAAGTTAATATCCTTTAGTGGAAGAGATGTTGTTTAGAAGTAAGCAACCCATTCACAGCTTCACTATTTGTGGTACTGTGTTCAATA